AAATTTAAAAAAATAATTTTAAAAAAAACTGGCATCAGTTTTCTTCAGCCTGCAAAACTAGTTACTCAGCCTCAGAATCCTTTGTTTCCTTTCTTTAGTCATGGAAAGTAGTTTAATCTGTCTATTTACCAGAAGAGGAAATGCATCTCTCCTAGATCTCCTTGAGGCTGTTTCCCCAGTCAATCTGCCTGTTTCCTAGAAACTGGACTGTGACTGTGTCCTTCCTGAATTACTGGTACTGACATATGAACTGTTCTTTTCAGATGTAGACGTTCTTTTTTTTTTTTTTTTACTAACAGAAGTGAATTGTTAAATGAGCTAGTGTCTCACCCTGGTATAAAAGCCCAATGGCCACTCCCAGATAGGGAGGTAGTCTTTGAGGACAACCCTCTATCCTCCACAGATCTGTGATAAAGTGCTTATGGATATTGCAATCCGTTTTTCTTACTGGCAATTGACTTGGAGAGAACCCCTTGCGTTCAGTGACACTGAAGCTGGTTTGAGTTTTGCTCACAGCTCTGTCCCCAACACTGAATGATCAATAAATGTCAGAAGTTTGTGAACACAAGTGTTCTTAGCCCAGTGTGCCCGCTCATGCACATAATTCCCACTCTCAAGGGCGAGCACCTCTGACCACCCACCCCTTTCTGCTGGGTCCACACACAGTCCCCCACTGTCTTCATGGTTGGGCACAAAGGGTCCCGCTGCTCTCAGCCTTTCAGACATGCTAGCATGCCCCATATGCCCACATGCACTTGGTGACACATGATATGTTCCACATACCCACACATCACCCGCCTGCACCAAGTTCTGCCACATCTGAGCCCACACACCCTGGCATCCACACAGGCACTGGGTCTGCCTCCTCCATTGTCTCACACCTCCCTCGTTCACACACTGAGCACCTACTGTGTGGCAGCACCTGTTCTAGGCAGCGAAGACACAGCTGTGACTAAGACAGACAAAACCTCCACTTCCTGGAGCTGAAACCCTGCAGCCAGAGGGTCTGTCTCACTGTAAGAAGAGACTTGTCACTGACTCTCCAGCAAGTTTTCAGAAGCTGTCAATTGCATGGGAAGAAATTTCTCATCTTTCTCCTGGTGGATTCGAACCTTAGGGGGGAAAATCAGGAAAAGGAGAGGGGGCCCTCAAGGCGAGAGAGAAGGGCTTGCTGGGAAGGGGACATAGGCAAGGATCCAAAGAAGGAGGAGAAGGAAAAGAGGGAAAGTAAGTGCAAAGGCCCTGTGGTGGGGCCTTGCTTGATGGAGCCACTATGAGGTCCCTGTGGTTAGAGCAGAGAGTGACGGAGAGATTGGGGGCAGAGCGTGTGGGGCCCAGGGGGCTTTGGGCAGGGCTTGTCCTTGTACTGTGGTGAGGTAGGAGGGTTCAGAGGGGAAAGGTCCATTCACTACCGTCCACACACTCACTCCAAGCAGAGCAGGGCAGGGTCTTCTTGCTGCCAAGCAGACACCAGGTTCCCCAGGACAGAGACTGACCCCCTGCAGCTATAGTGTGATGGAACACTAGAAGCCTGTCCCACCCTCAGACTGAGAGTGAGGAGGAGAGGAATGAGCCCCCCAGAAAAGACAAAGCCAAGGTCCTCCAAACAGCAAGAGCCTGCTTGCTTTCTTCCCTCAACTTCTCACCTTTGAGACCCCAAAATCTCGAGTCCAATGAGGCTCTGAAGCAGCACAAGGAAATCCGAGGAGGAGCTGAGGGTCCAAAAAGACCTCTGAGTTGGGGAAGGGGAGAAGCTAGTGGGAGGGAAGGAATGGAGGAGGAAGCCCAGACACCCTCCCGCCTTCCACCGCCGGTGCCTGGAACTGGCTCTGCGATGCTTGGTCCAGGAGGCCCAACTGTAAATATTTAGTATTTCCTGCTTGAGAACCGGAGCAGAATTGCCAGATCCCCCTGCCCAGGCCACCAGAGCCTGATAACACCGGTCAGTGACCTGGACATTCCCCCTGGAGGTGCACAGAGCGTGGGAGGCTGGAGGCCTGGCCACATGGAGGGGATCCCAGCTGCAAACACGCCCCACACACAAATCAACAGTGGGCACCTGCCACATATGTGTAATACCCTCTAGTCTGTATACTTTTTCTCTAGTCTGTGCAGCCCGAGCTGGCTTCTATGGAAAAAGACTAACCCCACTGCCACCTAGTCAATGCCAACTGCCAACTTTTATTGGCTTTCTGAGGCTTCACATCTTTAGAGGAGATGGTCTTTCTCTCGGGGACTGGTGGATTGGACCTGTTAGACTTTCAGGTAGTGGCCTAATACATTATGCACTATACTACCAAAGGTCCCTTGGCTTCTATGTGTTGTTGAGTACCATTGACTTGGAACCAGCTATAGCTGACCCTCCGGTGAGTTCTCAGAAGCAGTAAATCGCACAGAAGATTGCCCATCTTTTTCCTGTGGTGCAGCTGGTGGATCTGAACTGGCTACTATACACAGGTCTTCTAATACGTATTTCATAGCAGAGGAAACAGACACAGGGAGAGTGAGTGGCGTGCTATGATCACACGGCCGAAAAAGGACCTCAGTGGGGTCCAGCCAGGTAGCACAGTGCCCAGAGTTCACACACGTCTGCAGGGCCATGGTATGTGCAAGTGCGCCCGCGCGCGCGCACGTGCGCGCGCACACACACACACACACAATAATGCAGACACCAAGCCACACTGCATACCCAAGGAGCATGCAAACCACTGCACAGAACAGCAGAGACAGACAGACAGATGGGGCTCGAGAGAGCTCCAAGAAGCTGTGTGTGTGTGTGTACACAAGTTCTCTTGTCTGGTGCATAAAAAAGAAACAAATTACAGTCAAGTTTGTCCCAACCACTGGTGATTATGTGTCAGAATAGCATTTTCCAGATGATTTTTAGTGGCCAATTTTTCAGAAATATATCATAAGGCACCTCTGGTGGACTTGAACCACTAACCTGTTGGTTAGCAGTGAGTACATTAACCGTTAGTACCACCGTGGGTCTCCAGCTGGCACCCACGTACATAAAGACACAACTGGAAACACAAAGGTCAATTTGGAAAACAACTGTGTTCAAAAGAGCCACACACACCATGACATAACAGGAAATTACGTGTGAACTGAGAGTAGCTGTGCCTGTATGTCAGCCACATACACCCCCAGGTCCACACGGTCACACAAAGCATGAACAAGGCAAGATCCGGATGTCTGCAGACTACACTGTGGGTGTTTTCATTTGTTTCTGTGGTATTCTCACTCAGATCAAATCACACAGCAACAACAACAACCAAAATAAAAAACAAAAACACCCAGGCAGAGACAAGCATGCAATCAATCATCTGTCAGAAGTACAGGGGGCTCACGTGAGTCCAGGGACCCTGGCCCAGGGTCTCCGACCTCGATGAAGGCCTCAGTGACCAGCAGAGAAGACACCCCTTTGGAGAGCAGTCTCCTTCCCCCAGTTCCCAGTGTCCTGAACTCGTAACCTAAGTGGATGTCTGGACTGGAAAAGGAAATGGTTGTCCCAGAGCTGAGAGAGGCTGCCAGGCTGTGCGCTGGACAGGGGGCCCCCATACCGGGCCCCTCGACCTCCCAGCCTCAGCTCACTCAGAAAGAGAAGAAACCTCATAAGTCAGAGAAGGACTGACACAAGGGAGAGAGGGTCCAAGAGACAGAAATAGGAAGATGGAGAGTCGCGGACGTGGAAAAAGAGACAGAGAGGCGGGGAGAGACACAGACGGAAGAACAGGGTAAAGACAGAGAGAGAGGAGAAAAATGGAAACTCGGAGATGATGACAGGGACAAGGTTCGAAAAGGGGAAGAAGATGGGGATAGAAAGGGGAAGTGGGGAGGGGAGACAAATAGGAAGAGAAATGTCCCTCCCCTCCTCCCCCCAGAGTTCTGGGGAAGAAGTCAGAGGCCTGGGGCCGAGACTGGGGCTCTGAGAGGAAACGGGGAGGGGGTGGATTACTCAAGAAGCACCCGCCTTGCCCCAGTTTTCCAGAAGGGTGATGTGGAGTTTCCATCCTTCAGCCCAGCCCGTCTGCAGACAGGGCCCTCACAGAGGGCAGCTGGCCCTCAGGAGAGGGAGGCCCAAATGAGGAACTGCCACAGGCCATGCCCACTTTTCCAGTGGCTGCCAAAGCGCCTGCCTGGCAGCAGTGAGCCCAGAGCCTTGCACATGTCCGTCTGCTCTCTTCATTCGAGCATCTGGGAAGACTCCATCAGCCTCTCCTCAGGAGCCTCAGAGTCGTTGTTTGTAGGTGCTGCCAAGTGTGCTACCGCCCAGAGTCAACCTCAGAACTCCAGATCAGAACTTTACCCTGTCCTGCACCCGTTCACTGTCTCCCCCATGCTGGAACTGATGGTTACAGCCATGGTTGCAACGTCAATTCATCTCTTTTCCTCTTTCACTGACCCTCATTCCCAACTTGATATCATTTTCCAACAGCCCTCCTGACAACATGCCCAAAACCATGTGAAATAAGGTTTCAACATTCTTGCCTCTCCATCTTTGCCTCTGAAGAGCACTCTGGTTACACTTCCTTCAAGACACATTTGTAGGGGAGCTCTGGTGGCCTAGTGGCAAGAAGCTGCAACTACAATCCCAGAGGTGCACGGTTCAAATCCACCAGGTGCTCTGCCGGGGAAGGAGGGGCCATCTCCTCCTGTACCAGTCAGATCTGATTTGACGGTACACGCACACAAAAATAAAAAATAAAATAAAATAAAGACAGATTTGTGTGATCTTTTGGAAGTCTGTGGACTATTTATAGTCTTCACCAATACCACAACTCAAAGGCATTAATTCTTGGCCTCTCCACCATATCTCAAAGAGGGAAGACTGTCCTTTTGGGATGTAATTTTCTAACAAATCTACTTTCTACCTAAAACAAAACAAAACCCAAACAAAAAACCAAAGCATTAATTCTTCCTCAAGTTTCTTTATTCATTCCAATTTTCAGAACTACAGAAAGCAACTGAAAATACCCTGGTCTGGATCAGGAGCACCTTGATCTTTACATGAACATCTTTGCTCTTTAGGATTTTAAAGTGTTCTTTTATATCAAATGTTCCCAACGCAAAATCTTTTGATTTCTTGACTCTTGCAACCATAGGTGTTAATTATGGGTCCAAATAAAATTAAACTGACAACTCTAATCTTTATCTACCTATCATGACGTTGATTATCATGGTTTTATTAGTCTTCAGCGTAGAGAAAGTTGTCATCAAAATCACACAGTTGGAAAAGAAAAGATTTAAGGACAAAATTTTTTTTTAGAAAAAACAAAGGTAAAGAATCACTAAATCAAAGCAGCAGGTGGGCATTAGGTGGGTCCTAATGCCATTTTAAAAATAATCTGTTATAAAAAGAGAGACAAAGAAGATAGGTTTTGTGAAAATGCCAGATCAGACCTGGCACTAATGTCTTGTTGCTGGATAGTCGTTAGAACCTGACATGAAACACGTCTCACTAAACCCAGAATCAGCTCTGAGCTTAGACACCCAGCCCCACAAACTGTAAAACAATAAATCTGTCGGTTAAAGTAAAAAATGAATGAATGAATGAATGACTAAATAAATAAAATCTAAAAGAAAGGTAGCAAACAACATTAGATGAGAAAGTTGTCTTGGAAAGAGAAGTCGCACGTGGTCACCTCCGACTTTATGAAAATATTATTGTTTTAGATGCAGTCGAGTCGATTACAATTCATAGCGATCCTGTGAAGAAACTTTCTCTCTTGCTCCATCCTCAGGGTCCCTGTCATGAAAATATAGGCTTAATACATTAAAATTTAGAATTTTAACTTTACTAAAACTTGATTTTTTTTTTAATTACGTTAGAAAGCTGGAAGAAATGTTCTTAATTTTTCTTAAGACGGAGGATGTATTCGAACTTATGGCTCCATTTTTCTAAAACCTGCGCAGGCTCCCTAGATCGCGCAGCCCCGCCCTCCCCCCTCCCCCCCGGTAGCCGCGGTCTCCTCGCAATGACGTCATCAGAGGTGCCGCCTCGCTTACGCGCTCTTCTGCGCCGGAAGTGAGCGGTGCGGCGCCAGAAGCTGCGGAGGGATCCGACCTCGTGGAGCCCGCGGAGCTATGGGGCAGCCGAAGCGGGTAAGGCGCCGTGGCCCGGGAGGCGGAGAGCGGGCACGCTCCTCGCGGACCCCGCGAACCTCACCCCTCGCCTCTCGTCCCTGCAGTCCCGGTATCAGAAGCGCGCGCGCGCCCAGGCGCAGCTCCGCAACCTCGAGGCTTATGCCGCGCAGCCGCACTCGTTCGTGTTCACCCGGGGTCGCGCCGGCCGCAGCGTCCGGCAGCTCAGCCTGGATGTCCGGCGGGTCATGGAGCCGCTCACCGCCACCCGCCTGCAGGTCAGCACCGCCCAGCCTAGGTCCTTTTTCCCGACTGCGGGCATGATGGCTTTAGCCGGGGGACCTGGCCGAGTCGTGCTCGAGTTCAGGTCGGCTTGGCTCCAGCCCCTCTGCTGGAGCTGTTGGAGAGATCGGGGACGTGCTGTTCAGCGTTCACCCGAAATGTGTTGCTCAGGTAGGGGGCTTTCACCTTCGTCTCGTTAATCTTCAGGTGCGGAAGAAGAATTCGCTGAAAGACTGCGTTGCAGTGGCTGGCCCCCTCGGGGTCACACACTTCTTGATCTTGAGCAAAACGGAGACCAACATCTACTTTGTGAGTGGATTCCCACGACCCTCGTCTTCCCCCAGCCCCCGCTTCCCCAACTCTCAGGATGAACCCATACGCCTCTGAGTAGCCATGATTTTGGCTTCAAAGTAAACGCGCTGAAGAGATGGGGCAGAGTCCCGTTCCTCCTCCTCCCTGGCAGAACAGCCCCCCTCACAGCTCCTTTCTTCTGCAGAAGCTGATGCGTCTCCCTGGAGGCCCCACCTTGACCTTCCGAGTTAACCAGGTGAGGGGTGGAGCTGGTTAGAGAGCAGGGTGGGTGGCCCCAGCCACGGGGGTTGACAGTCACCCGGCCTCCTCCTGCCCTGCAGTACACACTCGTGCGTGATGTGGTCTCCTCACTGCGACGGCACCGCATGCACGAGCAGCAGTTCGCCCACCCGCCGCTCCTGGTGCTTAACAGCTTCGGTCCGCACGGCATGCACGTGAAGCTCATGGCCACCATGTTTCAGAACCTGTTCCCTTCCATCAACGTGCACAAGGTGGGCTTTGTCTGACAGAGCAGCAAGTGGGTGGGCAGGGTGGGCTGCAGGCCCTCTTGGGCCTCGCATCTGAACACTGGAGGCAGACCCACTCCAAAGTCTTGAGTCTTGAGCTCAGATCTTACCTCTGCTCTGTAACACCGGCAGAGACACACTCAGCGGACCTGCTTACTTTCTTATCTGCAGATGGAAGACATCACTAACGATTCTTCCCTAAGTGTGGGTCAGGTGTTGGTCTGTGAGGTGTGTTGTCACAGTCACACCTAGTACAAAGAGAAGTTGCACCCCATTGAGTTGCTCGTGTGAAATTAGATCTTGGGTCTCAGGGCTTCTGCAGTGGTCAGTCAGCCTCAGTAGTGGCCGGCCCAGCTTTGTGGCCCATCTCTCACGTGGTCAGCAAATACAGTTAGCAGTGCCGATGACCCCTTTAGTGTTAGTAACACCAGCGGGCTGCTATACTGCTGGACTGTGCAGTTAAGGGGGCCCTGCCTGGCCAGAGCGGTTTGAGGGAGGCTTGTGTGGTACCACGCCCTCTTCATTTCCTTTCCAGGTAAACCTCAACACCATCAAGCGCTGCCTCCTCATCAACTACAACCCCGAATCCCAGGAGCTGGATTTCCGCCATTAGTGAGTGCTGGGGGGGGGGGCGGTGGGGCAGGCAGGGAGTCATGACCTTTGAGTGCGGCTGATGACCACTCTGCTGCTGAGACCCTGTGATTGCTCAGCCTCAAAGTAAACGCTCTGACGCCCTCCGGGAAGTGTAAGGGGGCCTGACCTCCCACTTGATAGTCTCTGACCGTTTTCTCTGCCTGCTTCGCCTCCTGCAGTAGCATCAAGGTGGTTCCTGTGGGTGCAAGTCGTGGGATGAAGAAGCTTCTCCAGGAGAAGTTTCCCAATATGAGCCGTCTGCAGGACATCAGCGAGCTGCTGGCCACGTGAGGAGGGTGCAGGGTGGGAGCCCCCTTCCAGAGAACCCGGTGCTGTCCTGGGAGCCTGGCTAAGACCCATGTGTCTGCTGTACAGGGGTGCAGGGCTGTCAGAGAGCGAGGCGGAACCCGATGGGGAACACAACATTACGGAGCTGCCCCAGGCCGTTGCCGGGCGAGGCAACATGCGGGCCCAGCAGAGCGCCGTGCGGCTCACTGAGGTGAGGCCCAGCCTGGTGGCCCGGGGGTGAAGGTGCCAGCCCTCAGCCCTGAGGAGACACTGACCCTTCCTCTTTGCCCTCCAGATAGGTCCTCGGATGACTCTGCAGCTCGTGAAGATCCAGGAAGGAGTTGGGGAGGGGAACGTGCTGTTCCACAGTTTTGGTGAGGATGGGTCAGGGGTTATGAGTCCCCTAAGGCCGGTCAGCAGAAGGGGCCGTGGGCATATTGACCCTCCCTACAACGTCTCCTTCCTGCTCAGTGCACAAGACGGAGGAGGAGCTGCAGGCCATCCTGGCAGCAAAGGAGGAGCGGCTGCGGCTCAAGGCCCAGAGGCAGGACGAGCAGGCCCACAACGTGCAGCGCAAGCGGGAGCAGCGAGAGGCCCACAAGTGGGTGACGGGGGCCACCTCGGGCGGGGTGGGGCCGCCCCGGGTGCAGGCTGCCTCACTGAGGGGTGCCTCTCCTCAGGAAGAAGAGCCTGGCGGGTATGAAGAGGGCTCGGGTGGAGGCCGAAGGTGACAGTGATGCCGAGGACCCGGGGGCTCCACCAGAGGCAGCGGGCGCCGGCCAGCCTGAAGAGGAAGAGGATGAAGCCGAGTATTTCCGCCAGGCCGTGGGCGAGGAACCTGACGAGGGTGCGTGACAGGAGCAGCTCCCCAGGCCCTGAGGGGTATGCTGCTGAACCTGGGATAGGCCGCTTACCTTTCTCTCCTTACAGACATGTTTCCTGGGCTGACCAAGCGGAGACAGCGCATGGGCCCTCCACGGAAGAAGCAGCGAGTGAAGGAGAAGAGGCCAGATCGAGGCAGTGGCCAGAGGCCTCCCAAGCCCAAGAGCAGACCGCAAGGGGCCCGGGCCAAGTGGGGGCCTAGAGGGGCTGCACGAAACCATTTGCCAGCCCAGTCCAGGCCACCTAAGCGAGTGGGTCAAGCCTGAGCCCCAGTCAGACTGTAATGCCCCAAATTGGGACTGAAATGCTGCTCCCAGGTGCAGCCTTCCGTTTCCTTTTATAAAGGAGCTGGTTCCTTTATTCCACTTACCCACCTCACTAATAAATGACTGATATTTTCTTGAGACATTGCGAAGAGTGAGAGGGGCGGCACCAGACAGTATTCTCGTGCCTTAGTGGTAAAGAGTTGTGCTGTCAATCCACTGTTCAAATCCACTTGTGGCAGAAAGATCGGCGGTCTCTTCCCGTGCAGTCTGTTGCCGCTGCAAACCCACTGGAGGGTCGGCAGTGAGTTGATTTCTGACTCTGCAGGCCTGCAAGATGCCCTCGGCTCACTTCACTGATGAGAGGCAGGGCTGGTCCTGGTGTCCTCAGGCATTACACAGCCTGGTGCGATGAGGAAGGCGGGCAGAGGTGGGGCTCTGACTTGCTCTGCCTGCTGCTGTGGGTGGGGCTGCAGGGAGGGAGGGGCCCGCCTCGCTGGGTAACTCAGAGGAACGAGGGACACCGCGTGGAGCGGACCTGGCTGGGTGCGTACCATGGTGGCCTGCACAGGTGAGCCACGCTGCAGTCCAGCGACCCACTGTCCCTGGGAGGCAATGGGGCAGCGAGTGTTTGCATAGATTGTCTAGACAGCTACTTCCTCCTCCAGCTCTGGGACAGGAATTGGCGGGTTGGGGTGCCAGTTTAGGGGACTGCATGTGTGGCAGTGAAGGGCATGAGGAAGCGGGCTCCCTGTGCCACTGTATCCTGGCTACTGGGGAACAAGGACTGGCCAGGTGGTGGACCCTGCTTCATCTGTGTGGTCTAGGAGGGTTGGTTTGGGAAGATGAAGGATTTTTATTCCCAACCAGATGGGGAAATGGAGCAGGGGAGGGGGCTGTGGGGTTCTATTGGAATGTGAAGGTGGACAGTAGGCTCAGCCGCCTTGGGGCAGGTGGGAGAGCAGAGTTCCCAAGAGACTTAAAGCAACCAGCAAAGCGGGGTGAGGAATACGGGAAGGTGATGGGAGGAAGTAGGGGCAGGGAGTGTGATCGGATGTGACTGGCTTTGATGAAATGAGGTCACACGTGGGCCCCTTAGAAGCATATGTCAGTGGGGGTCAGCACAGCCAGAGAGGTTGGAGGCTGAACCTGTGGGTCCAGGTGGCTGAGGACAACTTCAGGACCACCTCTGACCCCAGGTGCTGATGTGGCCTGAGGGCTCCTGCTAGTCTGTGCAGACCTGCCAGGTGACAGCTTCCTATCAGTGGTGACCTTTGGTTTGCCCTGGCTGTTAAAGGTGCAGGACCTGAGGGCTGGGTTGGCACAAGCTGAAGGAAGACCCTGGCTTAGAACCAGGTGTCAGGCAGAAGGGGCTGGCCAGGCCACAGTAGGGACTCAGTGAGCTGCAGGCAAACGGCTCTCAGGCCTCTGCACTTGGGACACACGGGGTGTATGGAAGGACGTGCTACAGCAGGGGTGGCCAGGCCTTGAGGACGTGGGACAGGGCTGGCTCTGGCAACACCCTGTGCTCACAGGTGCCCCGCCCTGCCCAGCCAACATCACGACAGCTGCGGAACAGGTCCTCAACAGCATCCAAGAGGCTTATCTGTGGCCTGTGCTGGTCGTGGAGTTCCTGGTGGCCGTGGGAAGCAATGGCCTGGCCCTGTACCGCTTCAGCACGCGGGAGCAGCGCCCCTGGCACCCAGCTGTGGTCTTCTCAGCCCAGCTGGCCATCAGCGACCTGCTGTATGCCCTGACACTGCCCCCGCTGGCTGCCTACTTTTACCCACCCAAACGGTGGCATTATGGGGACGTCGCGTGCCGCCTGGAGCGCTTTCTCTTCAACTGCAACCTGCAGGGCAGCATCATCTTCATCACCTGCATCAGCCTCAACCGCTACCTGGGCATCGTCCACCCCTTCTTCACACGCAGCTACCTGCGGCCCAGGCATGCCTGGGCTGTCAGCGTGGCCGGCTGGGCCTTGGCTGCTCTGCTAGCGAGTCCCACGCTCTACTTCTCCCGCCTGAGCTACTCCAATGTCACTGTCAAGTGTCTGGGGACCGCGGATGACCATCACCTCGAGGCCTACAGGGCCTACAGCCTGACTCTGGCCGGCCTGGGCTGTGGCCTGCCCCTGCTGCTCACGCTGACCGCCTATGGGGTGCTGGGCCGGGCGGTGTTGCGAAGCCACAGCATGAACGCAGCCGAGAAGCTCCACGTGGCGGTGCTCGTGGTCAGCGGGGTGGCCCTCTATGCCTGCTCCTATGTGCCCTACCATGTCACGCACGTGCTCAACGTCTGTGCCCGGCTTCGTTGGATCGCTCAGTGTCCGAGCTTTGTGACTAAGGCCGAGGCAAAAGCTGCGCTGGACCAGCGCTCCTACACGGCCTACCAGGTGACACGCGTGCTCATGCCCCTGGCCATCTGCATCCACCCGCTGCTCTACATGGCCGTGGCGCCCAGTCTGGGCTGCTGCTCTAGAAAGCAGGGTCCAGAGGGGTCTGAGAGCTCCAGCCAAGGCGTGCCCCTCACTGTCACAGCCTCCTCCAAGGCCTCGGCGCCAACCCTGTGATCTGGCCCACGTGGAACAGCTGAGTGTGGGTTAAAAGCACGGTGGGTCACAAGCCACCACTTCCCCAAAGGCCAGCCTGTGGTCCGGAAAGTGGGGCCGGCTGACGAATGAGGCCGTGGCAGCGGGTTTCCTGTTGAACCTCTGGTTTAAGACCAGGCAGGACACGAACCCACCCCGGGCGAAAGGGGAGCACTGGCCCCACGTGCGAAGGAAGGAGGGGACTGGCCCTGCATGCTGTGGTAGAAGCCGTGCAACCACATGGGTGGTGACAGAAAATAAACAGCACAGTCATCCAAGCTTTTTTATTGCTCATGGAGTCCTGCTCTTCAAAGCCACCTGATGTCACTGCAGGTCCTCGGGTCATGGCTTGAGCCACAGCCGTACTGCCAACTGGTTCAGTTGGTTGATGGCCTGGAAAGAGAGAGAAGAGGTAGTTTAAGAGGGCAGGTGTGGGGGCTCCAGACCCAAGATCCCCCAACACCAAGGGGATAGAGAAGCAGAGACTGCCAGGTTAGCGGGCTGGCCGCCTTGTGCCAACCACCCACTTAACAGGCAGGCGCAGAAGGCCATGCAGCTATAGTGAGGGGGCTGGGGAAGGGAGGATGGGGAAAGTCGCTGCCAGGCCGGGGGTCTTACTTGGCCCACTCGACGTTAAGGATGAGGTGGTCGTAGCCGAAGCCGGACACCCCAGCAATGGCACGGGCAGCGTCCTCACGGCGGTGGAAGCTGATGAAAGCGAAGCCCTGCAGGAGGGAATGAGGGCAGGTGGGCACAGGGCCGAGCCAGCAGACCCACCCCCACCCCCGGGGGTGCCAGCCCACCTTGGACTGCCCGGTGGTCTTGTCCTTCGCCAGGTAGATGCGGGAGATGGAGCCAAAGGGTCTGAAGAGTTCTTGCAAGTCAGTCTCCCGCGTGTCCTCCGACAGGTTGGTGACACGGATTGTGGCATTGTCGTCAGCTGGGCGGGGAAGGACAGGTGGCTCTCACGGGAAAGCCCCACCCCAGCCCGCCCCACAGGAGATAATTACAGGAGCCGAGGGCCTGGCATCGGCGGCCCACACTCACCTCTACGATTGGGCTGCATGGACTCGCCACGGCGGCTGGCCCCGTCACGGAGGCTCGGCGGCACGTACTTGCCCGTCTTGCTCTGGGTGGCCTGCACAGGCTCCAGCTCTGAAGAGGAAAACTGGGGTCAAGGGGAGCCCCCACCCTGAGACCTGACCAGGATGCTGGCAGCTCAGGTCCTGACCTAGTTAAGGCTGCTCCACCTGCAAAACCACAGGGGGGGGGGCTGGTCCCTCGGAAACCCAGAGTGCACTTGTCACGGTGCAAAGTCACATGCAGGAAGCAGAGCTCACTGCAGCAGCTTCCTAACGCTGCCAGCGAGAACCCACAGGGGCAGATGTGGTCCAGGGCGCTAAAGTGCCCCACCTCACACGTCCCACGCACATGGCAGGTGACAGTGCATGTCACACTCAGGGCTCAACAACGAGCTGTACTAACACAGTCAACATGACAACTCATGCCAGTAACATACTGACGGGGCTACGGATGACCACGTCAGAACATACACACTCTTCGTGGACAGTCACAAGTCAGGATATACACTGAACAAGGATCAGTCAGAGGGGTTCTGCCCAGAGTTCATACAGTCCCAACCACAGCAAGGAGAGTGCTCATCTCAGCACTCCCAGCAGCCACAGGCCCACCCCTGCACACTCACAGCCCAACCCCTTACACACTCACAGCCCAACCCCTGCCACAGCCAAGCCCTTACACTCACAGCCCAACCCCTGCCACAGCCGAGCCCTTACACACTCAGAGGTCACCTCCTGCCACAGCCGACCCCCTGCGCACTCAGAGCCCAGCCCCTGCCACATGCCACCCCCTGCACAAAAACAGATAGTGGCCACAGCCACAATGACAGAGAGCAAGCAATGATCACGCCTCCCCTCATCTCAGCTGCACCCCAGCCCTGGCACCTCCAGGCAGCTTCTCCTTCTCGCCAGTGGACAGGCCTAGCTGCTCTGCCAGCTCCTTCTGCATGGGCCCCAGCGTGTCCTTGTAGGGGCAGCAGGTGGTCCAGTGGTCGCCCTTGCAGATGCGGCAGGACACAATCTTCTGGCCCTTGAGCTTGTTCATCGGGTCCTCCTCCTCCTGGCAGTTCAGGTCCTGGCAGGGACAGGCAAGGACAACTCAGAGGGGGCCACTGTGCCCCTGCCACTGCCACCTGGCCACCTGCCTCGTGCTGTGCCCACTCACCTCTTTACTGGTGATGAATGTCATGGAGACGTCGTCACTCACTGTGGTGGTGGCCACATTGGGTCCTGGTGGGTCAAACTCGGAGTTTCCGAATTTCTTCCAATTCTTGGTGCACAGCAGGATGGGAGACAGGTCAGGAATCCTGCCAGCCCTAGAACACCCACCCCTGGGACACCTGGGCCCTGAAGCCCACCCTCACTCCCCAGATGGAATAACTGCTATTTCCTGAGTGCCCACCAGGCCCTGGCTTCGCACTGGCTCCAGGAGGCAGGGGCAGCTCTCAGCCTGCGTTCCAAGTGAAATACAAGGGCTCCATGGAGAGACACCTACACAGCTCCTCTGTCCTCCTGGGGGCCTTCAAACAGACTCCCACTGGGGAGACGGCACTAGTGTTCAGCGTGGGGGTGACCCAGGCCTCAGGCTACTTAAACCAGCTTCCCTTATCTATGAAGTGGGGGCACTAACAACGAACTATGGAGAGATCCCGCCTGGAAAAGCGTGTCAAGCATATTTCCTGTTCTCACTCCTTCCCAAAATGGCACAGCCCCGGTACACCGAGAGCTGCTTTGACCACCTCAGGATAAGGGTTGCCTCTTCCCTCCTGCCAGGCAAAATGAAACACCCATTCTGTGCCCTAGACTTTTCAGAACTTTTCCAGAAGAGCACAAACTCCCTACTTCTAAGCTTTGCCTCAGCAAATTAGGCAAAAACAGTTCAACTTCATCTTAAGACAGGTATTCAGACAATCTCCTCCTGTACCAGTCAAATCCGATGTGACGGTACACACACACAAAATAATAAAATAAAAAGAAAAAAATAGGTATTCAAAACAACTATGAGATATCATTTCACCCCAGTAAGAAAAGCAAAATTTAACAGAACAGTGAACAACAAATGCTGGCGAGGTTGTGGAGAAACTGGAACCCTTATTCACTGTTGGTGGGAGTGTAAAATGGTGCAGCCACTATGGAAGGCAGTATGGCGCTTTCTCAAAAAGTTGCAAATAGAAATACCATTTGACCCAGCAATTCCACTACAGGGAAATTGCCCTAAAGAAATCATAAAACTACCACCCAAGCAGATATATGCACACCCATGTTTATGGCAGCTTTGTTCATAACAGCAAAGAGTTGGAAAAATCTAAGTGCCCATCAACAAACAAATACAGAAGCTCTGGTATATTCACACAATGGAATACTACGCTGCATTGAAAAATAAGGAAATCATGAAATATTCAAAATAGAGGACATTGTTGTTGTTGTTATGTGTCGTCGAGTCGCTTGCGACTCATAGCGACCCTATGTAAAACAGCCCTAAACCCTAATCATTCAGTCACAAAAGGACAAATACGGCATAGTGCCACTGTTGTAAAACGGGACAGATGTCGGGGTTGGGGTGAGACTGAGAAAGATGGGATAAATTATGTATACTGCATTGAAACAGAGGAGAGAACTGTTTAAAATGGATATATGATTAGGTATTATATGACAGGAGTCCTCAACAAAGGCTTCATAGTGGAGTATACTTGGGGGAAGGGACTGTATAACAATGAAAAAAATCCTTTTACTTTTCAAAGAGAAGAGCGAACTGGAGGGAAGGGGTGGGTAGGGAGAAAAGTGCAACAATGAATGGAAATCCAAAATCTCTGTAAATTTTCATTAAGAAGAAGAAATAAGGAAAAAAAAAGGTATTAAGAAAATAGGATCCTAACCTGTCTGGTTGGACTCTGAGGTAGTTCCAAAAGCAAAGGGTCTTACCTTCCTCCTAGCAACAGCCTTTGAAGCCTTCCGAGTCTCAATCCTGAAGGTTCGGACAATCTGCAGAGGGGAGTAGAGGCTGGGCTTCCCGAGATGGCCACGGAACTTCCTCACCGACCCCATCCCCACACACCACCTTACCCAGGCCAAGTGCCCCCAAGCACTGGCACGCCCACCCGCTCGCTTAGTCTCACCTTGAACTTCTTGCCATCCTCATCTATCTTGTACTCGGTCACGGTCTTGACGTTTCCATTAATGACCTCCTTAGGAGGCGGCAGTGGAGCTGGGAGAACAAGGCGGGGTGAGGGGAGCCAAGCTTGACCAAAGGGGATCCAGGATGGGCAGGGGGTCGTGGGAGGTCCAGTCCAGGGACGGAAGGGAGATGATGGGTCACTCACCTCCTGGCAGTAGCTCGGGCTCTGGGCTGGTGTCCCCAGTGGCCAGAGGGATCCCCTTGAGAAGTTCGCTGGTGACACATTTGTCTATGGGAGAGAATAAGGGAGCAGGGGTCAGCTGGTGGGGGCCGAAGCTCCAAGCTAAGATGGGGGGGGGCTTTCGGATGTCACACACACTAGAAGGGGGTCGGGGCAGATGGACAGGGTAGGGGGCAGTTAAAGCTGGAGTTAAACCTGGCGGCCTCGGGGTCGGGGGGGGGGGGTGGGGGGGGGTGGTTGGTGGTCAAGGATCCCCAAGGCCAGGCGACAAGGAGGGAGGCACATCAGACAGGCTCTCACAGGAGCCTGGGGGGGGGGGTAGCCCGTGCGTCCACCCTCCTCGGACACTCGGACACGGGAGGAAGGAGATCTGGCCACCGTGAGCCAGAAGCTGGCCACAGGCTGGCCGGGAGGAGGACGGCGCGGGAGAAGGGGCTGTCAGCGATGGAGGGCGGGGCAGCCCCGATCGGGGCAGAAGGCAGGGAGAGGCCGCACTCACGGGAGGGGCAGCCCGGGGTACTCACCGTCCTCGCCCTCCTCTTCCACC